TTATCCACAAAAAAAAAAAAAAAAAATCAAGCTGTCATTTCATGTACTCTTGGGGGCCCCCTGGTGGCCACATTGGAAATGTTTAAGGGAACCGCAAAGTGACGAATATGGCTGGGACATATTTATCAATGTTTGCTCTGAAAGGTGAGACTGTTTATTTTAACATCCTGATCACACGATTCCTTTGCTTCTTTTTTTATTTTTTATTATTAGCCTAAATAAGCTGACGAAATACACAATTACTGTAACTGTGAAAGCATGTAAGCCGACTAACTTACTTTACAAACTTCCCTTACAAAAATTAACCATATGTTTTTACTATTAAAATTTATTAATTAATACGTTTATTATGTAAAAAATAAATAAAAACAAAAAATGGTTACTATAGTTAAACCATGATAACCACAAACTAACCATGGATTTACTACACTGACCATAGTTTAACCATGGTAGCTATTTGTACAACTGTGGTTATACAAATGGTAATCGATACAAAAAAAAAAAATACATGTTTAATTTTTGTTTTGTTGGAGTAATTTTTGCATTGTTGGGGTCCTCCCGTTGTGGTCTGTATTTGCGTTTCTGTATTTGGTTGTGTTGTGAGCATTTGCAGCGTGTTTATTTATTTGTTTGTGTTGTGAGCATTTGCAGCACATTTCTTTGTTTGTGTTGCGAGTATTTGCAGCGCGTTTCTTTGTTTGTTTGTGTTGTGAGCATTTGCTGCGTGTTTTTGTATTTGATTGTGTTGCGAGTAATTGCAGCACATGTGCTGTCAAACTGATGAAGATGTTTTCTTAATTTGCTGGTGCTTTTTCTATTTGCATGTGTTTTCTGAAGTTGCAGCGTGTTGAGCTCTCTCGGCCACCGTACAATATGGTGCAATATTATCCTATTTACATCAATGTGATAAACGAGTTAGATCACAAGCAATATAAAAGTAATCAAAAGTAGTCTGATGATTATATTACCTGAAATGTGTACCGTAATGGATAACGTTACTAACTACAATTAACGTCATGTAATTTGAAATCAGTATTGGACTACAATTTGTAAGGAATATACTAGCACTGACCATTGCCACCAATGTTTTACTCCATACACAATGCATGTAGTAATTTTCCATAAATTTATGGTATTTTGGATCTGGTACTATGGTAATATCATGCTTTTTGGACATTACAACGCTATGTAAAATTCCACTATATAAAAAGGGGCAAAGTACCATATTTTAAAATTACCATTTCAAAGAACCATGGTATTAAAACAACATTTTCCCATAATATATCATAATCAAAACAAATCTATGGCACTTTTGAATATGGTGCTATGGTAATTTTTTTTACAACCCCCTACTATATGAAAATGGCAAATTACTGTAAGTTTTAAATTACCATTTCAAATAACCATGGTATTAAATAGGTATTTTCCTATTATATATCATAATCAAAATAAATCTGTGCTATTATTGGATATGGTACGGTAATACCATGCTTTTTGGACATTACATATAAATACTCACTCTATGAGAATGTCAATCAAATTATCATAGTTATACATTTCAAAGAACCATGGTATTAAAACAAAATTTTCCCATAATATATCAATCAAAACAAATCTATGGCACTACCATGCTTTCTTTAAGTTATAATGCCATGTAAACACAATATGAAAATGGCATATTATAGTAAAGTTTTAAATGTCCATTTCTACGAACCACGGAATTAAATATGAGACCATTAGGCCGTGATATCTTCCATTAATATTCAAATTAGTAGAAGAGATTATTTAATATTTTATTAAATCATGTGTTTTAGTGTTTTTGACCCTACCCCATTGGGAGTCACATGCAGTGCTGGTGAGTTCGGTGGCACCGTGTTGACCCGCTCCGTGTCCGAATCACTGGACTGCAGCAGAACCGGGGCGCTCGTCCTCACGTTCGGCACACGCAGAGACTCGGACCCGGCGTAAGTGGCCCTATTCGGGCGAATAAACCTGGCGCGCTGCCCGGTGGCCCTTCTCTCCGCTGAGGAGGTCAGGGACGAGGTTATGGGAGGCGCCAGCATCGGCTCCGAGACCGAGACGTAGTTGGTCTTTCTGTTTGGAGCGAACAGAGGCTCATCAGAGAAGCGGGTGATTCTCTGGCGGGTGGAAAACGACGAGTGCATGAGCGAGATTTCCGACCCGAAGCGGTCCCTCTTCCTCTGGGCCATGCGGAACAGCTTGTATCCCACGAACAGGCAGTTGAGCAGCAGGAGCAGAAGGACGCAGGGAATGAGCACCAGGATCAGAAGGGCCAAACTGGACACCGGGAGGCCCTCAGGTAAGCTTGATGAGGGCACAGCCGATCCCAGCTGCGACATTTAATCACAAAGCAGGACAAAACAATATGATTTTGATGTTTGCTTAACTGCACCTCTGATTATTTATGTTTTTATGTAAAATAATATCAATAAAATGACTAAAACTGACAGCCGACAGTTGAACCGCAGGTGCGCCCTATTGACATCAATTCATTCCGCCAGAGTGCGTCAAGAGCTTTGGCTTTTCACCGACAGTTTGCAACAACTTTGCAATCTTACCTCAGAGATGAGAATTTCTTTGGTGTATTAAGTCGTCTATTTTGTTCGTAAGCCCTCAAAATAGCACAGTAATGAAGTTAAATATGTAAAAGCACTTATGAGTTTCAGCTGAGGTGAAATCAAGCGCTTGTGTGAGACTCTGGAAACAAAACAAAATCACCAGGAAAGTTCAGAGAACGATGAGTAAATAATTAATTGGTGACTGTATAAAATAAAATGTTATATAAACAAATGTACATTCATATTTACATGTTTTTGCTGCTTCTATCGGAGCTACCTCGTGATGTCGCTAAACGCATTATTGTACAGTTTAGTGTGAACACGTCAAAATTCATTTCTAATGTATCAAAATATAAACCTTTTGTTCCCCAAATTATTCTGAATAAAAAAGTACAGTAGCCTATTCCTAAAATTCATACACATTTCCTTGATGTAGGCTCATTCTTAACCAATTTTTCTGAGGGGAACGTTAGTTAATAGTCATATCTGCTAGTGTTTTTACTGTTAATTAAATATATTAAAATTAAATTGAAATAAAGCTGAAATACAATATTAATATGAGATGAAAACGTAAATTTAAAAATCTTGAAACTTTAAAAAATGAAAATTTGTTGAATTGCCAACTAACTTAACTACATTTACGACGAAGTAGCCTACTAAAATTGCTACAAGTAAACTGAAATGAAAGCTAAATTTAACTAGCCTATACAAAACTAAAATGGTCAGAAGCTATTTAATTTAATAGAAAATTTAAAATTTAAAAAGTGAATTCAAAATATTTTAAGTAATATAATAGTATATAAATAACACCAACAGTAACGCTGTTATCTCAATGTTTTTTAGTAGCTAATTATAGTTTCGAGGCGATTCTTCCAAGTTCTCACCGTGCAATTCATTATTATGGCCGAGAGAGGGCAGTATAGTCTAGTTTAACATTGTAGTTTCATGAGCCTTTTTCAGTTGTTGTTCATGTAAATGCAATCACAAACCCTGTTCATCTTATTACTTTAAAGCCATCAAAGACATATTTAATATGCTAACCTAACCTTGATTCCCGTAGGCTTGAGTCCCTTTAGATGGTCCCTTAAGTACTTATAATTGCGTCCATTCATTTTGCGGGCAGCTTTATCTGAAGCAATTTAGAAATGAGTAATGCTTCCACAGGGAACATACCACTGATGCTGGAAGCACAAACACACAGTCGCTGTATGTGTTGTGAAATGTCATGGATGGCCTCATTTGATGTTAGAAAAAGGAAAAATTACAATATTTTTTCTGCATATATGTAGCTAATAAAAAAAAAATACAACTGCATAACAGTGGATTTCCCAAGTGAAATAGATGCAGTGGTGAGCAAACATTACACTTCAGATATAGAATTGGCTTTTTTAGTTTTTCTAAGAAATATCTAGGTTCACACCCTGCTAAAAACAGCCATTCTGACCCTTGAGTAAGTGTGAGTGTCATTTTAAACTGTGAGATGATTCATGGCCCACAAACACAGCTATGACTGACACGAGACAATGTTCTTCTCGCTCAGACAGTTCATATATTTGCACATTTCCTGTGAATACCAGTCTGTTGAGCTTGAGAGAATCATTGCCAAATATGTCCAATCAAATATACAGTACACTCTTAGAAAAAAAAATTGTACCATTAGGGGCAAAACAGCTTGAGGCAGTACCCTCATATCATTTGTCATCTTTGTACCTTAATTACATAAAAAGGTTCACAGCTTCACAAAAAGGATACATATTACTACTTTAAGGTACTAATACACATCTTTTAGGGGTATATTGTACCACTTTGCACATTTTCTGACTGTATTTCAACCGGGGTCCTTCCTGGGAAAAAGATCACTTGTACACAAACTGGAAGATATATTTGAGAAGAAAATTATATAAATCATGCCTTTTCTTTTTTATTTTACTTTCTTTTCTTTTCATTTCTTTGCTTTGCTTTTCAGCTTTTCGCTTCACAAGATGTTAATTGATGGACTGGAGTGGTGTGGATTACTTGTGGATTATTGTGATGTTTTTATCAGATGTTTGGACTCTCATTCTGACGGCACCCATTCACTGCAGAGGATCCATTGCTGAGCAAGTGATGTAATGCTACATTTCTCCAAATCTGATCCCATGAAGAAACAAACTTAACTTAATCTTCGATGGCCTGAGGGTGAGTATATTTTAATCAAATTTTAAATGTTTGGGTGAACTATTCCTTTCAATTCAAAATCATTTGCTTTAATATGGACTTTGTTCTCCCTTTGCTGCTTTGCAGATTTCTGGGAAGGTTTTCTAATGGATGCTGGAACATGGATGCAGGGATTTGCTCTTGTTCGGATACAAACATCACTGAAGTCAGGTATTGATGTTTTTGTGATGGAGTCTGGCTTACTGTTTGAGTGTTGTTTGGCCTGTGCACAAGTCCTTCCATTTCTTCGTAGACCACATTTTGTGCACTGCATGGGGCATTTCCAGCAGATTTAATCTTTTTTTGTATATGAACAACTCTTGGATGTATTCTTGATTAGTTTTTCCTATTTTTCCCTTTGTGCTATACAAGTAAAGTTACTATTTTCATCTTCAGAAAGCAGTAGGGAATATACAGCAGGCTTTGAAACTATTAAAAGCATACAGATTAAATATTTAAAGGCTAAAACTTTATGGTAGCTACTGAGTTTTAATCAACCACACCATGGCCTCATATAGCTTTTGTGTTTATTAGTATTCAAATCCACAGAGCAAAAATTCCACCCTTTCTGGTGTGGAACATGATTATCACAGATGATTAATACATAAAGATCTACTTTATTCATGTTATTTTTGAGGCAGGGCATCACAGGTTACTAGGGTAAATAATTACATTGTATTACAAGTTTTCTGAAACTTATGTTTAAATGGATGGAGGAGGGTAATTAGCTATTGAGCAACGCGAAGCTGGTGATAGTACTGAAGGACCTTATATATATGAGTGCTGTGACAGGTGTCGCATCAGACGTAGACCTTATATAGGAATGTTGTGATAAGCGTAATTTTTCTATATGTAGACGTGGATCAGCTGAGAGTCAGCTGATGCAAGCTTGACTAACGTGACCCGCCAGAACTGATGCTATGAATATATAGATATATTCACACACGCACACATATATATATATATATATATATATATATATTAAATGATTTTAGCAAATGGCTGCAATATAACAAAGAGTGAAAAATTTAAGGGGGTCTGAATACTTTCCGTACCCACTGTATATATATGTGTGTGTGTGTGTGTGTGTGAATATACATAAAGAATATACATAGGAATAAATCTGTAAAGTTTGCTGTTTGTAAGTTCTAGTTAAGTAAAGATTTTGGTCTCAACAAAATTGAGAAAATGGCCTTTAAAGATATGTATTGTAATTTAAATCTACATATGCAAAAAGACAAGTGCAATAAAATAAACACTTAAATGTGTATTTTGGATGTTTTCTTTTGCACTAGTCTGAAAGAAGACAAGCTGTGGAAGCAAAATAGCTCAAAAACTCTTAATCACTAAACAACTTTTTCCCTCTCGTATGTAATTTAATGCATTCATCATTCATGGATTAAATTCATGCACGAGTTCTTCATTCTTGAGTGCTCAACACAAGACGGCAACACCAAATTCCAGTTATTTCATTAATAAAACTTTATTTCTGCTTACAAAACATGCATTCATCATACATGCCAGGTCATATCTGAAATTTACATTTTCTCTATACAAATAATTCATTGGAACATGACACAGGGATCTCTCATAGAGACTAAATCACTGACAGTTCTGTACATGAGTACAAGGTCGTCATGGTTAAAGAAGTATGCTAACACTTCAGAGTAGCACCATCAGTGCAGGTGTGTGTTTAGTGCGTGCGCTGTTCGTGTGTTTCCTCAAACACTTCATCTCTGTACGAATCACACTTAACACAGGTATTACATACCTATATGTAATATGTCTGTGTGAGCATTCCATCTCACACTTGAGTGCGTGTGCCTCACAGAGACAAACAGCAGACGTTAAGTCTGTCACCAAAATGAGCGTGTTTTCTTTAGTTAACACTGTCCCAAGCTGTGTTTGATGATTTCTTTGCTGCTCGGGGGAATGCGATCAGGGAAAACGACTTGAAATTCGACCAGCAGGTCTCCACGCTGGGCGGGGTTCTTCGCTCGGGGAAGCCCCTCCCCTATAAGCCGTCTCATTGAGCCGGGCTTGATGACATCACTGCATGGGAGGGGCTTCATCTGTCCGTCAAGCATAGGGACGTTAACTGTACACCCACATAGAGCCTGGAGAAAACACAAAGAAAGAAAACCGTTAAATGTTGTGTCACAGGATCATCTTTGACTTGTAGAGCTATAAAGGTCTGTATCGATCCTCGGCAGCTCTCTTTGTCTTGAGATACAATCTGTTATATCACAAGCTGCAGTGTTTTGGCAGCATAAGAGCTATAATGCTCCTCCGGCATATTTTATGAGGTCTAATCCACTTGTCTATATATGATGCTTTTATATAATGCGAGTATGAAAGCGGGAGGAATATAGGCCAGACAGATTGAACATTACAGTTACGTAACGGCAGAAAAGAGCCGCTAATCGCTCTCATTTCTCAATGATGCTCCAGTCTGCGGGGGACGGGAGGGTAAGCGTAGGAAGAGAAAGATGAAGTGGATGTGGAAAACGAGAGAGGGAGAGAGTGAACGAGAGCGAGAGGTTTGGTGTGGAAAGTAAAAATGTAAATGAGCTGGAAAGAATGAAGAGTTGTTTTTAAGAGCCAATGCCAAATCTGGTGTCTAGAGAACAGGATGGGCGATTTGATGATCATTTTTGTTAATCGGCCAATTAATTTGTGATATTTTTGAATAAATAGTGCATAAAATAATTAATTCTAGCTTGCTGTCTTATGAATATCTCTGCATTATATTGGCCAATCAGGCAAAGTTATCAATACCGATAATCTTAAAATGGCCATATGGACTGAATATTTCCTGATATTTCAGCTAGACCAATTAATTAATCAATAATTAGCCGGTTTAAGATTATCTGCCAATCAGGCACAGTAATCAGTGCCAATAATCTAAAAATGGCAAAATAGGCCAATTAATCGCCCAGCAATTGGCCATTTTAAGATTATTGGTATCAAACGCTTGATCTCTGCTTGGCTAGTTAACAGAAATTTGTCAACTAAATATTAACCATTTCTGTTGTTTTCTTAGTATTGTATAAAATAAGTGTTTCATTTAATTG